CACTCTCCTGAGAATAGGTGGTCTGCTTTCGTTGTCGAGAGATACTGCGTCCATTTTGCTGTTTAAACTGACCGTTGAGTGGTTGATTGAAAAAGAAGCAAGGTTCAAAAATAAAAGTTCGAAAACTTGAATATCGAAAGAAAAGTTTGAAAAAGATGTGTTAGAAAAACCAAAGTTCGAGAACCTACAGTTCGAGAAAAAGATTCGAAAAACCAAAATTCGAAAGAGAATGTTCAAAAACTAAAAGTTTGAGAATCATGTTCGAAAACAAGAAGTTCGAAAATAAAACTTCGAAAAGTAGAATTCCGAAAACTTCAATTCGAAAGATAAGTTCGAAAAATTGAAGGCTCGAAAACTGAAGTTCGAAAATTTGTCCATAGTAAAATTTCCTGCCTGTTTGAGATGAAAATCCTTCAGCTGTGCGAAAAAACCCGTTCTTCGAAATCGTCCTTCAACACCTTATGGTCGAAAAACAACCTGCTGCAGTCCGAGAAACTCATATACTCGGAAAATAGAGTATATCGAGAAATCTTCAAATATGTCAAAAATGAAAATGAAAAGGTAGTAAACGTATGTTTCGATCAGGCGATTCTAGCAGTATTTGTATATCAATTTTCCGAGCAAAAACAAGAGAAACCGATCAGTCAAAAATTGCGAAAAGTGAAAAACAAAGCTTTTCTTCAATCAATCGTCACTCATCGGATCTAATACCAGTTGTCGGTCCCTGTTTCTGTATCTAATCTAACAGCACAAATGAGAAATAAAGATTGAGAGAAATTTCATTATAATGATGTGGATATATTCGAACAAGATGAAAATCTCTCTCTCTCTCTCTCTCTCTCTCTCTAATATCGAAAATAGTATGTGTGGCTAGTGTAGAATATCTCAAAGTTAGGCGATATACACTCCTAAGCGCATATTTATATGCATAGGGTGTACCGCTTGCCTAAAAGACTAACATAGGGTTTGGGGCTTACACATAAATGGCCCTCATCCTTAAAAGCCTATTCTATTTAGTACAAATAAATACCAGAAATGGTAAAATAAAACAAGACTAATAATAACGACTTGATCACAAAAACATATCTTCAACCGCCTGTAAAGTGCACACAGACTGAGTAGGAATGACAAAACCTGGATGTTGTTTCACATAAAAAAAATCCTCCAGCATACCATTCACAAATGCACTCTTTACATCCATCTTGTAGACTCTGATGTCCTTGTAGGCAGCATAAGCTAGAAAGATTCTGATTTCTACGGTACAAATGTTTCATCAAAATCTATTTTCTTCTTCTTGGCAGTATCTCTTTGCCACTAACCTTGCTTTATTCCTTACAATGGTTCAATCTCCACCAGTCTTATTCTAGAGAACCTATTTTGCTCCAATGATATATCTGGTGCTTTGGCCTAGTAACGAGTTCCCAAACTTTGTTCATTTCAATCTGGTTTAATTCTCGCTTGATTGTAGTGATCCAATTTGAATCTGTGAAAGCTTCTTCAACACTCTGGGTTCCATCTTTGAAATGTAGCAAGAAATCATTGCTTGTTTCCTATGGGTAGCTGATCTGGTTTGAACACCTCTTCTGATTTCTCCTACCACTTGTTTAGGTGGGTGATCTATTAACCAGGTCAGATCAGGTTCAAAAAGTTGTTGTCTGGCTGCTCTGGTTCTTCATCTTCAGATTCTTTTGTGTGTTTAAGATTTGATATTAGATTGGTTGGTAAGATCTTGTTGATATCAACCAACTTTGATTATGGTTTGACTTCTTTAGCATATTTCTCTTTAAGTTCCATCCAGTTCATGGCTTTTGTGCCAAATTCTACTGAAGGTTGCTCATCAAACCTGATATGAGCACATTCTTCTACCAACATAGTTCGTTTGTTGAGGCCTTGCTTGTATCTGAATATCTCGTGAATATTCCTTCACCTGCTTTCTCTTGAAATACCTTTTGATGGTCTTTTTCATTGTTCAGGATATAACACATGCATCCAAATATGTGAAAGTAGCTCACATTTGGTTTTCTTCCTTTCCATAGTTCATAAGAAGATTTCTTGTGAACTTTGTGGATGATGCCTCTATTCTTAGTATAGCAGGCAATGTTGATTACATCTGCCCAATACCTTATAATAAACAATAATTCTACTATCATGGTTCTGGCAGCTTCTTTTAGAGTTCTGTTTCTTCATTCTACAACTTTGTTCTATTGGAGGGTCCTAGCTGCAGATAGTTAATGTAGCGTGCTATTCTATTCACAGAACTCTCTAATTATCTGTTTCACAATTTCTCTAACTTTGTCAGTTATGATTTTCTTGACTTTCAAATTTTTCTTATTTTGCAGCAGTTTCAATAGAGTTGGTAACTTATTGAGAGTTTCATTCATCTTTTTCAGAAAGATGATCTATGTAAATCTTGAATAGTCATGTACCATGACTAGTGTATACATCTTTCCGCTTACACTAGGTGTCTCAACAGGTGCTGTTAGAAATTATTTATTGTATTCAAATTAATTGTAATTATCTTTGATTAATTAAGTCTAGTATTAGCAGGCTTTCAGTTGGGATAGATATGGGCTTATTAATTAAACAACCCACTGCACACGCCTACCTGCCTAAGCCTCTACACGTTAAATTCCGCACATACCATTCTGGTAGAGCACCTCTCTAGTTTTTCTCTCTCAACACTTCATACGTATATCATGTATTATTGCCATATCATTATGAATATACGGTATTGATTGTTGATTGATCATTCTTTTTCTACACAATTTCTTCATATTATTTATATGTCATTCGACTGTTGGTCTGGGATTCCACAATTGGCATGAGAGCCACGATGTAATTTTGTTCGTTCGTAAATCTAAGAATTTTTTAAGGAATTAATTTGATCAAAATCACAAGTTTTGGTTGAACTATTTCTAGATCTGTTCTTGGTATTTTATGTTTAATTGTTGCGACTGCTGTAAAGAAAAGAAGAGAAGATCACAGAGAAAATTAACCTAGTATTGTTATAATTTCGTCGGAGCGAGAGTTATCCTCTCCAAATCTTCGACTTGTCTAGGGCGTTCCTACGCCGCTAGGGTTCAGTGCGTCCGATCTCGGCGATTGGCCGAGGATCGCGAGCGAGTGGAGGCGGCGAGCGGTTGTCGTGGTTTTGCTGGACGAACGGAGGTTTACGAATGGAAGATTTTGTGGCTTCATACAAGAAACTTTCGATGAATGAGCAAGAGAACGAGTTGAATTTTGATGAAGATGCAGCGGAGGACGTCGAGGAGGATGCAGGGCCGACTGGTTTTCCGGCGGTAGCACTGGTGATTTCGGATCGGAAAATTAAACTGGCAGGGTTTCAGGAGATGATGATAGCGGTTTGGAAACCTGTTAAAGGTATGACTATCAAGGAAATCGGCGACAAAAGGTATCTGTTAATTGTTTTATCACTGTTTGGATATGAATCGTGTTATTGAGGATGACCCTTGGCTATTTGAGCGCGATTTGATATTACTAAAAGCTGTTCAGCCTGATGATATACCTGAATCAATGAATCTGTATGAGGCTAGCTTTTGGGTACAGGTTCACAATGCTCCTATAAAGTATAGGAATTTGCGATCTGCTAGAAGAATTGGTAATTTTCTGGGCTCTTTCATTAAATTTGAGATGAACCAATTTGATGGTAGGCAGACTTCCTATCTGCGTATTAGGGTGTCTATGGATGTTCACCCGCCTTTGAAAAAAGGCACTAATCTGACACAGGATGGTATTAAGCATTGGGTGGACTTTAAATATGAGAAGTTGCCCAGTTTCTGTTTCATTTGTGGCATTATTGGTCATTCTGATAAATTCTGCCCGTTGAAGTATGAAGAGGGTTTTGTTGCTGAAAAAACATTTGGAGTGGAACTTAGAGCGGGAGGAAGAGTGAAGACCAACCCTATAGGAGCATACAAATGGACTTCTGCGGGAGCTTCAAGCTCTGAAGGGTATGGCAGCCAATGGAAACCTGCTTCTGGAGGAGAGTATTCGGCTGAGTCCAAGGGCATCAAACCGGTACTATTTGAGAGCACCAACGAGTAGGAGATGCCTGGGGAGCTCAAGCGCAGGAGGACCTGGGAAGCTCAGGCTGGACAAGGCGTCGTTGATGAAGACATGGGCATGGAGGGGTCAAAAAACAGAGGGGAGGCGGGTCTGGCTCCCTAGACCCGCCAAGACTGTGTTGGAAGTTTGTGGGGCAGAAATCTTGTTTTGGTTTCTTTATTTTCTTCTGTTTCAAATTTAGTACTCTGCATTGTTCTGTTTTGTTTTTCTGTTATGCGTTTATTCCTTGTAAGACTCTCGCATTAAGTTTGGGGGAGGGAGAGGCTGCGGTAACCGTCATTAGCTCTATGTTGCCCAAATTTGGTCTAGCGAGTTATACTGCTTTTGCACAGGTGGTTAGCTCTCAGTCTCGGCCACGGGCGGATGGTTATTTGTGGTTCTTTTCTAGTTTTATCCTCCTGCTGAATGCTACTTTTATGAATTAAGGATTCTTCGAGCAAAAAAAAAAGTCTAGTATTAGCAGGCTTTCAGTTGGGATAGATATGGGCTTATTAATTAAACAACCCACTGCACACGCCTGCCTGCCTAAGCCTCTACACATTAAATTCCGCACATACCATTCTGGTAGAGCACCTCTCTAGTTTTTCTCTCTCAACACTTCATACGTATATCATGTATTATTGCCATATCATTATGAATATACGGTATTGATTGTTGATTGATCATTCTTCTTCTACACAATTTCTTCATATTATTTATATGTCATTCGACTGTTGGTCTGGGATTCCACAATTGGCATGAGAGCCACGATGTAATTTTGTTCGTTCGTAAATCTAAGAATTTTTTAAGGAATTAATTTGATCAAAATCACAAGTTTTGGTTGAACTATTTCTAGATCTGTTCTTGGTATTTTATGTTTAATTGTTGCGACTGCTGTAAAGAAAAGAAGAGAAGATCACAAAGAAAATTAACCTAGTTGCTCGAAGTTACGTATTATTGCTCTATCGAAATCCTTCATTTCGGTACTGCAGAGGATTTCGAGCATCTGAAGTAAAATTCTTTATTCTAAGTAGTTTGACCGTTTGATATGGGAATTCTGAGGATAATTTAAGTAAAATTGATTTAGAAGTTTCCAAACTTAGTGCTTGGGTGTTTGGAAGTGATTCTGTTTCTGCTTCTTTTTTAAAGCAGAAGTAGAATCAGAATCAGTTTTCAGAAGCTGGTCACCCCCAGCTTCTAAAAAAACTGATTCTAGGAGTAAATTTATGTACCAGAATCACTTCTGCACTTTCATCCAAACACTTCAGCTTCTGCTTCTGCTCCCTGACGGAGTAGAAGCAGTTTTAAGAATCAGATCCAAACACCCCTTAGTCTCATTTTATGAAACTTAAAAGAACAACTCTTTTTTGTCCATAACCTATGTCTAGTAAAATTCTTGTGATGATCTGTGATTGTTCCCATAAAAAATTCATAAATTATTTTAGATTCCCCTTGGACTTTCTGGATCGTTCAATGTTGCAATGGCACTTTCAATCTTTATTTTCAATACGTCATTGTCTTCCTCTTCGGCCTGAAAAAAAAAAAGAAATGAAAAAGGCGAGTGTCACTTTTGCACTTATACCCAAAGCTCGAAATTTAAGGGATTTGTTGAAATAAGAGTAAAAAATATTGGGAACTCCAAAATTGAATTGTTGTTATTTTCCTAATATTTACTTTCCCTCAATACGGCTGGACATGATCATTCATATGTGTGTCTATATATATATATATATATATATATATATATATATATATATATATATATATATATAATGCAGTTATCTTCCAAAAATCGTTTGACTGCCTTCCTGATTGAATTTTTTGCTGAAATTTGGTATGCATGTACTAGACTTGATGAAGAACATGCTCAAAAAATTTCATCGAAAAATTCCACCGGGAAGGCGCTCAAAACGTGGAGGCCGCACGGCGGCTCCGGTAAGGTATACCTTACCGGAAGTTTTTCCTATATATATATATATATATATATATATAGGAAAATGTTCAAGTAAGGTAGGCCTAAGAATTGAAATTCTTAGGCCTCTTTCATTTGAGGTGCTTCCGGGATATATTTTTTGATGAAATTTTGTGAGCATGTTCTCCATGAAGTATTGACTATGCCCACCAAATTTCAGAATAAAATTCAATCGGTAAGTCGGTTAAATAATTTTTTCAAAATTGTGCAGGTTTTTACATATATAAAATGCAGTTTTTTTTCAATAATTTATTTAAACGACTTCACGATTGAATTTAATTCTGAAACTTGGTAGACATAATCTTCAATCCATGGAGAACATGCTCCCAAAATTTCATCAAAAAATTCGACCCAGAAGCACCTCAAATGAAAGAGGCCTAAGAATTATGATTCTTAGGCCTACCTTACCTTAGCATTACCCTATATATATATATATATATATATATATATATATATATTTTTTTTTTTTTTTACCCCGGAAGGCAAACCACCGCAACCAGTGGGGCAAATGCCGGGGGACATTTGCCATTATTTTATTAGAATCATCAACAGAAAAAGTACATCATGCGAGGGAGCAAACCTCAGTAAGGGCATACCCTTACAGCAAACAGAAAAACAAAACTACCAGTAGACATATGGAACAGACATAGCATCCAATCGAAAAGTTCCTTGAAGCCCATTATGTAATGGTTCGCCCCTTTTCCAATTGAAAATTCCATGTAGGCCCAATTCCGCAACCAACAAAGCTCCTCTATTTGTTTGGGCCGGGGATGATATCCAAGCTGGATCTAATTGCAGACGGGCCGCCACCGCCCCACCATACTCTATCAAACTGAAATAGGCAATATCAATTTCCAGATCAGGCACCTGAAGCATTTTACACCAACTCAGAGCTTGCTCGAGTGCTTCCTCTTCCATTCTCGAAGAACCACTCATCGGAAAACCCTTCGCCGCCACAGCTGCACCATCATGGTCTCTAAGAAGAAAACCCGCTGCCGACCTTCCATTCTGGCGAAAGACCGCCCAATTAAGCTTTATGTAACCCCGTCGCGGCTTGCTCCAGCTTCTAGCCTCTGGCCGAATCTTTCTGAAATTGTAAGGTAACAACCCGATATCTTTAAGAGTATCCCCTCCCATCAGATTATCATTAGCCATTGACCAAGAAATCATAAAAATGCAGATGCGGTTTATAACAACCTCCCGATCTGGGAGAGTTTCATCCCAGACAGCCTCCCAGTACACCTTCCATAAAAACCAGGTAATAACCCCTGGGATGACCACCTTATAAATTTTGTCTAAAGACTTCCCTTTAAACGTAATCCACCATTTGCATAGATGCTCTTTTATATGACTTGCCTGCCTTCCTCCTTGCATCAGGGTAGTTTCAAAAAAGGCCCAAACAGATCTTGCATAGGGACATAAAAGGAGGATATGATCCTGTTGCGCAGAAGCTGCCTTGCAAAAAGGACAAATTGATGGAAAGATAACAGAGAACTTTGCTAATTGTTCCGGAAAAGGAAGACAACCATGCCACATCCTCCACAAAAAAATTTTAACCTTTGGTACCTGTTTTGGGTGCCAGATGTTTGTTGTAGATATAGTGCTTCCCCTCCCCTGCCAAAGAGCTAGATAAGCTGATTTAGTAGTAAAGTCTCCCCCAGTTGTATGTTTCCATTTGAGAGTATTAGGCCCTCTCTCAACCATTTGATCTGCCTCATCATGCACTTGGCATATCCTTCTCCAAATGTGAGAATCCGTGGGCTTAATCTCCCCTAAATCCCTCTGACCATACTTCCCCCTCATAATTTGTGTCCAAATGGAGTCACCCTTTTGAAATTCCCACCAAAGTTTCATGGCACAAATCTTATGCATATCTTCCAGTGAACGAATACCAATCCCCCCTACTTCAATAGGCTTACACAGCTTCTTCAAGCTAGCCCAATGATACTTAGGCCTATTATTTTGAAATCCCCAGAAAAAATTAGCTATTTTCCTATTAATGATATTTTTGACAGCTGCAGGCAGTTTAGTAACTGCAATTACATGAATAGGCAAAGAGGTAAGCACATGTTTAATAAGAATGAGCCTCCCTCCCTGAGAAAGATTTTTCTGCCTCCACATAGACAACTTCTTATCAATGGTCTCCAAAAGCTCTTTGCAGTGAGACAGCCTGGTTATACCCCTATGAATCTGAACTCCGAGGTATTTAAAAGGAAGTTTGGATGCTTTCATACCTAGCTCATTTTGAATATGTAGAATCTGCCCAGAAGTAGCATATTTACCCATTACAAAACAGCTCTTATCTTTATTAATCAACTGCCCAGAAGCATTTTGATATTGCATAATGAACTTATTGAGATTTCTGATGGATTTAGACGATCCATTAAGAAAAATCATAAGATCGTCTGCAAAAGCTAGGTGAGAAACAATAGCACCCCTTCCTAGATTGAAGGCCTCAATGCTCTTAATTTGAATCAAGTGATTTATTCCTCTTGAAAAAGCCTCTGACATAATAATAAAGATCAACGGGGAAAGGGGATCTCCCTGTTTAACACCTCTGTGGGGTTTAAAATAACCAAAAGGCCTCCCATTGATGATAATAGAAATAAAAGTAGAGTTAAGATTGCCCAAAACTAGTTGTCTGATATGAGCTGAAAACCCAAACCTCTCCAGAATTGCATCTAAAAATCTCCAAGCCACTCTATCAAACGCTTTTGCCATGTCGAGCTTCAGAACCATATTTGATGCCCTCACTTTTTTGTCCAGATGATGCAACACTTCCGAACCCACTAGAACTTGATTATGAATAGATCTGCCTTTCATAAACCCATATTGTTCAATAGAGATAATTTTAGGTAGAATTCCAGTAATTCTTGTAGCCAGAATGCGAGTGTTAATCTTGCTAATAAAAGTGGACAAACATATAGGCCGGAAATCCCCAAATGACACAGGTTGTTTCTTTTTGGGAATCAAGACCACATTAACACTACCTACTCCCTTAGGAACCGGAAGGCCCAGGAAAAATTCTTGGACCGCTAATACAACATCGCCTTTGATAATGTCCCAGCAACCCTTATAAAAACTTCCACCAAAACCATCTGGCCCAGGCGCTGCATCCGGACTAAGACTCCAGATTGCTTTTCGAATCTCATTCTCCCCCGGCAACAACCCAAGGCCAGTATTATCAACATTGTCCACAAGTGAAGGAATGTGTTGCAACATCTCCCCATATTCAGCAGTTGATTCAAATTGGTAAAGGTTTTCAAAGAAGGAAACTGCCTCTGCCCCAATATCATTAATATTATAGCACCACTCCCCCGTACTCTTTTTGATTGCCTGAATGTTTTGCCTCCTTTTCTTTTCTTTTACTGCAGAATGAAAGAAATTTGTGTTAGAGTCCCCTTCCTTAAGCCACTTCACATTTGCTTTTTGTTTCCAAAAGGTATCCTGTTGTTTGATGCGTTTCAGTAATTCAGCCTGCTTTTTATGACAATGGGCTCTAGATGCAGCTGATGGATGCTCCTCAAACTCTTTTTCTGCTAGAATAGCCTCTTTTTCCAGTCTCTTTGCCTCAGCAAATATATCCCCGAAAACCTCTTTATTCCACTTCCTGATGTCCTCCTTTAAAGCACGTAGTTTAAGACATAAACCTCTCATGCCCCCCACCGTAGGGTATTCACCCCACCTAGCTCTTACAAATGGAATAAAACTTACATGAGAGAACCAAATATTCTGAAATCTAAACTGCATTGGACCTCCAACATTTGATTGCTCACAAAGAAGCAAAATCGGGCAGTGATCCGAAGGGGCTTTACTCAAGTGTTGGATGCTAACTGCCTCAAAATGAGAGATAAACTCCTGATTAGCCAGATATCTATCAAGTCTCTCCCATATTCTACCGTTTGATCTAACTCCAGTCCAAGTATAAGCTGACCCAATAGTTTGCAATTGTTCAAGTCCACATTCATCAATGCACTCCCGAAAGTCTTGTATGTCAGGAATTAATGGATTGGATGGCCCTTTATACTCCCCAAGTGATGCAACTATATTGAAATCGCCTCCTAATATCCAGGCTGAGTTAGTAGACTGAGCATAGTTTCTTAAGCCATCCCATAAACGAGCTCTATCCATCCTCGTGTGAGACCCATAAACAGGAGAAAACATAAAAGAAAAATTCGACGGAATGTAGTTTACTTTGAGTAAAAGAAACTGGCCTTTGTCATCAATAGAAGAAACATCAAAAACACCTTCATTCCACAAAACCCATATCTTATTTGAAACAGAAATAAACATCTTCGAGAAACCCAGCGTATGGAGAAAAAAATCTCCTTTATCCGGACCCACAAGTGGTTCAATAATAGTCACCAAATTAATGGAATGGTGCCTAATAATTTCACGTAGCCTCGGGCACGACGAAGCGAGGCCACGCAAGTTCCAAGTGAGAAGCTTCATGAGGAAACATCTAAGGAAATAGCCTTAGTGTTCCTCTTAGCCCCTAGCCTAGTAGTGACTGAAAGAGGTGGATGGACATCTTTGGTTTTCTTTCTCGACATCACTCC